GAATTTTCTTCCACATTTCTACAACATCACCTGCGCATTTTATCGCTGACGTGCCTTTAACCAGTCGTCAATAAATAGTATTACCTCAGACATTCGAAAGTTCGAACGAGTAGTTATGAAATTGCACCTGTGCCTCAGGTAGGCTAAATATACAGGAAGTACACATAGCATTGGATCAGACGGGAGCTGATCTGGGATTTGACTCCCAGACCGCGCATGTGGTAAGTGACGCCCCCACAGCAGTACACTCAGAATCCCCGAGACGCGGAAGGCGTGGCTGCGTACTTGAATTGACGTGGCGGCTCCTAAGCTTTTCATGAAATATTTTCATTTCGGGACAGTTGTAATCATGTTTTTGTACAAATTGTCTCAATATCCCCCGTATTCCACAAATAACCCACTTAATGCCATGTTCAAATGCCACGCCTAATCTGTTTGAAGGATGAGGAGTGCACCTCCGCTCCATAAAACTATTAATATTATTATGTTACATTCTTTGCTGCTGCTCCTAATATTGCTGCTTTGAACGGGAATAAGTAAGCTCAAACGGTCGAAAGTGCTACTTCTAAGCTTTTCTTTTTTTCTTGCCCCCTCTAGATGTTGGTATTCAGGATACTCAACAAGGGACAGCAATTTCGTGATGATGAAGACGGCTTGCCATCGGGGTAGGTTTAGTTTGTGGTAATTTTGATGCGTAAAACTGAAGTTTCGATGTGTCTGAGGGTGTGATGGAGGAGAAGGAAGTTTATCTTTTACCTTGGAAATCCAACGTGTTTAGCGGACAAAATGCAGTGGTGGACGAGGGCTCCAATGTCTACTGCTATGACCAGACGTCGGATGGTATGCAGGTTCACGCTAATAAAATCTTGCAGGTCAGTTTTTACGTTTCTTGAGAATAGACGAATCATAAGGCTCTTTGAATGGATTTGAGCTGACGAAGTTTGAAGAAATGCTAGTCAATTAAAGCGGCAAAGTTTGAGGTTTCAAGCTCGAACTCAGTGCTTCTATAAGCAGTGATTCTCCATAGTATGTAGTGAAGTAGGACTTGTGGTCAGCGGAGGAAGTGAACTCGCGGCCGACGGGAACTCACGGCCGACGGTCCTTTCTGTGAATCGTAAGAGTAAGACGAGA